AAGCGGTGACTCAGATATATGTGCTGCATCCGAGTTGGCAGAATATTGCCCGCAATAAATTCCGGCTACACAGCTCAAGACATTACTATTTCACGTGACACTGTTTTGCTATTCAAACTAACGTCGGATGAAGACTTTGTGTAAAAGGATAGAAATGCACTGGTGGAAAACGTAGCAAGGTACGTATCACAGTTATGCTGTGCACTACCATATTGGGGCAGGGAGAACCGGCTGCAATGGTTTAGAAATCAGACAACACTCGAAATTTAGCAATAGCAAAATGAAGATCTACCGGCAGTTTACAAGGATTATAAAAATGCATAAATAAATGTGTAGCTATCTCTGAACATTTAACAGCAAAATATAGAAAAACGCAACATTATCTCCTCTCTCGACAAAGCCGTTGTCTTAGCTAACTACACTTACTTAATGTCGAATTGCAGTTTCTCTTACTCAACGCCAGTCTGATACTTAAACCCTAGGACCAGGGTGTCATTTAGTACCATGAATCGAATTTTAGGAAATGTACAACGTATGCAGCTTACAACGATCATGGAATCCCACCAAGTTATGTCCGGAACTGATTTCGTCAAACGAGTAAATTTGTTAGACGACGTGTTCCACATAACGTCTACCTGGAAGGAGGTGCAGAACTCAACTGCCTCTGTTTTTAATGCGGGGTTTCCTTGTACTGCAGAAATAGATTCAAAGCGAACAATGCATACTTGACCTGAGACCTATGAGCAAATCGTGACTTCTTTAAAAGCGCTTGCTATGGATACTCTCTAAGAGGAATTGTTTGGATGCAAAATGGCTGATAGTCCTCTGGTTAATTCTTATTTCCAAACAACAGAAATAAACGGCGACCTGCTAACCGCAGCAACTTTAGCAGCTTAGGATGTGGATACTGTGTAATGTGTAATGTAATGTAATGCATGCAGAAGTGTCCATGTGATTAGCCTGGATGTAGCTTAACGGGATTACTACAGCACTTCTGTAAAATGAAGTAATGAACGAGTGAACGTTGTCGTTTCCTTTTATGTTTTTCTTACGCACTTACTGAATTAAGAAAGCTTTCCACGTCAATTTGATTATGAATATCTCATTCCCATTGCAAACGGTGGTTAATCAGTAGTGTATTTAACCTGGTGGACGCTTGATATAACCATTTACATCTTCAATGACGGCTCTAAATTTCATTTTTGCTCTAACCATCCTACGTGACTTGCCAAGCGCATGAATGTTTACACACAATAAATCAGTGTTCACTGCGCATTTTGCATTATATATCGTGCTTCACAGGTAACATTTTAGCTTTCAAATACTGACCGCTGCGAAAAGTGCACAAGTCCATATGGTCAAACATTTTCTTAGTTGAAGTACGAAAGAATTATGGACGTTATTTACTCTATAAAACTTGACCAAACCCTACATTTTGGTTGCCACGACAAACTGCATAACCTGGATCATGTTTTGGGACCTTTAAATGGATGACATTAATTGTCTGGCCATTACGAATTCAGGTTATCCCGCATAAATGCTGTTCTTTCTTGCTGTCTTGAAATACGAATATTTTATGGTGTTCCTTCCAATTAACTCCAACCTACATAGCCCAGCTTACTCCCGAAAAGCACCAAAGCGTTTCGCCCAATTGTTGTTCGTCAATGTTGCACGTTCGCTTGGTCCCTTACTGAGATCAAATCCGTGATCGCTAGACGCGGAATAGCTATTTGTTTGATCTGTTTTCTGCTAACCCATCAATGGCCAAGTTAGATCAAACAGCTAATGTAATGGATATAATTTATTGAAAGGAAATCGTTTATTATCTTTTAGCCTTTGAATAAAAAACAAACTTAAGGAAAACCCTGCATTAATTAAAATGACCTAACAACAAGGAATACTGTGAAATTTCCATTTTTTAAGCACACACATTATACGTTTTTCTCTGCTGTCATCAAGACGTTGTACGGTTTCGTCTAGTCTGAGGTGTAAACAGCAGCTAACCTTATACGCATTAGGCACCCATGACGTCTGGAGCATGATTATTTGGGGGAATTCCGTGAATTTTAGAGGGAAAACATATAGTGATGCTACCTTCACCTCAGCAGTAAGGCCAACCACACTAAAACGTTTCAGCTCGTAGTAGCTCGATAAATTTGGACCTTCGCTTACCAACAATGCGGAATCCAACTAGGAGACTGTGAATTCCAAAATGTGATGTCTTAGCTGAATGCCTTTATCTATTATTTGTGATTTGTAATGAAATCCCTACAGTTACGCAATCGTATGTAAAACATTTCAGTCAATTTGACTACTGATATTGGCACACGGGTAGAGCGGGAGAATTGTTAGAAGCTTTGAGTAACCCATTGATATCCATGCTAGTACACTGGTATTTGCTATTTACAGCGATACATCATGATGCTATCACATACAAGCAGCAAACCCATCATTAATTATCGTCACTGTACTAACTTAAACCTACACTGTCTTTAATATTTCCTTTTTGCTCATCTTTATTCGAATGTTTGCAACTACGTACCTATTACTATGCACATGAACACTAGTACATACTACTAAGCATCTACATTTAGGGTGCTCGAATCACGACACAAGGTACCCTATCTACGTCTACCAAGTGGTCTGCTACCGTAGGTTATTGTATGTTTAGCAACTGCCGTTTTATGTAACCACCATTTCATTCTGGTGCATTGCGCATTTTCCTTATACATTTCTAAAAATAGATAAATATCAACAAAGTTCTGACAACCTTCTGTTATACACATGGACTTTAAAGTAAAAAGCCACGTAACGAGTCGCATAATCCGACCGTATTTCTTCTGAATGCGGTAAACCTAGTTAAACCATTATATCGATTCTGCGCTTCCTGCTGTTACAACAACATTTGATGGTGAACCTATCAAATGTCAATGCAATGAAACCTATGAAAATCTTGTTTTCTAGTAAGTGAAAATGTCTATGTTAATCCTTATGCAAATCCATCTTATTTCACTAACTTACCTGCAGTTAGCTTCTCCGGTGAAATGATCTAACAACAAATAAAATTATATATTGCATTAAGGAATTCGAAGTTTCAGTCAATAACGCTGGCCGGTGGCGCTTACTCCGCACATCAAATTGGTCTATAAATCGGCTGTCGGTTAACTAGGCTGGAGTATATAGCGAGGCCTATAAATCCGTCGTTTTCCTTTTATTGAACATCTTTCTTACATTCTTTACCGCTGATTTATAAATATTATAATAATACCTTGAAAAAGTTTGCCCAAAGAAATTATGAATTCACCAAAACCTTCTTACACTCCATACAATGAATTCTTTGTTTGAACACAGTGCACACTTAGCCAATTGTTAATCTTTGCCATAAACATTGGGTAAGCTGAAACCAGTCATGAATAAATGTCTCCTCGAGCTATTATCCGACGGCTGGAAAATACGCGGAGGATGCTGTTTGTCAGTTTGCTCTCGGGGCTCAAGGATCTGCCTCCATTAACTCGCATGCCATTACTACACAATGTTCTGTTTTTGCTCTATAAATGAAGGTTGCATCCAAAAAGACGTCATTGACCTTTATCCGAAGGTAATACTGTAAAGTGCAGAAATGGCACAGATCTCTGTACATCAAGGTTAACTGAAATTGACTTAACTTGATATCTGATTGCATACCAGGCTGCGTTATGCCAATGCCACTATTGCTAGTACTGTTTGTTAACAAACATGTCAATGCAAGGTTTTCAATGGCAGCAATGGCGCAGCATCGATAATTTTTATTCGAAAATTACAAGCAATCAATCTCTAAATATTTACTGCTAAATATTACACTAAGGATGCTTTAAATTTTAAGAGAGTACTTTTCTTGTGGAGATCAGTAGAAGCAATACAACTTTCATTTACTTATTCACTCATAGATTTTGGCCACAAAAGTGGGCAACACTTAAATTTTTAATGTGAGATTAACCCAAGCTGCATACGCATGAGCAAGCAGTGTGCATTGAAAAGAAGCTGTCGTTGTCTAGCATGCTAAGTGACGTCAGCAGTAATACACTATTTAGAACAATTGTGGCACATGCTGGTTTTATCTGGAAGGCTGCACGACATGAATGAGCCATCTATTTTTATAACAATTCTCGGAAACTAAAAGCTCGCCGCCCAAACATTGCTTTGCCAACATTTGGTGTATAGTTACGAAACACTCGCTTGAGTGAATTATTATGGGTACTGTTTAAGCCCGATGACCCATACATCTCCCAAAATGGTTGTTCGCAAACTAACTATTCAACAGGAATGGCAATAAGCAATTTATTACTTGCGAATCATTATAACATTTTGTTCACTGTTTTGCAAGAATGAAACGTTCTAAGCATCAGCACTTGTTCACCTTGCTGGTTCAAATTTGTTTACTGCATAATTCAGCAGTCATAAATATTTATCGAATTTCTACCTAAAATTTTCTCATTCTAATGCGTTTCAGAAGTATAGCGAAAGTCGCCACAAAGCGTCAGCAGATGGTACATGACGGTCTTCTTATGAAAGTTGCGGTAAACGAATTTAGAAGGATTGTGTAGTTTTAATTTGTTATATATTTTGCTGTTTCACAACAAAGGAGTATGTAATTAACTGTAGGAAAATCAACCTATTTAAAAATTAAAAAAGGGAATAAATCCAATTGTGTTATTATGTAAATAAAAACTGAATGGTGTAACATTCCTATGCGTGATGCAGTTAGGGATTGTTGGAGCGAACGGTGTATACTGGTTTGTGTTTTCTATTTTAAGAAAGCAGATATTTTTTTCAATTTGTATTTGTCTAACATTACCAGATATTTAGTGCCCATTTTAACGGATGGACCACCAAATATTTGTTGACACATATACGTTTGCCAGATCAATTACTGTCAGTTAGTTGGATTAGGTAGCTCCTACCAAACACTGTTACCAAAACATTTGCAAACATATGATTGTAAAAGCTGAACGCGTAAAATTGCCGTTAACTGGAAACTGGCTCCATTCACTTCCCAATATAGTGCGACATATAAGGAGCCCAATTCTCCATCGTTGAAAACAACCATTCATTTCTTGTAAGTGCCGATGTGTATATTCCAGTACCCGGTTTGCACTCAGTTTCTGAGCCGTAGTTTCTCACACCCGCTAGCAGCCACTTATTTGTGTACGGTATCTTGCAATATAGTCCACTTCTGCAGTCCCGTTCACACGAATCCTAGAGGGAAAGGGACGAAGAAGAAATCATGTATAGTTAGAGATGCGACTTTAATATCAATTGAGAAATGACATGGCTATGGCAATGAAGACTGGTAGCTCAGGTTGTTCAGGTGGCTGTTGAACTGTTCGCCGAGCATGGCAATTTTGTTGCAAACGTTTCGTCACCAATCGAGGTGACATCATCAGTGCGTAGTTGAGTGGCGTGTAATAGCGTAGAGGAGCCTCGGTGAGAGGGCACTCTCATTGAGGCTCTTCTACGCTACTTTTTGCTATTGCACGCCACTCAACTAGGCACTGATGATGTCACCTCGATTGGTGACGAAACGTTTGCAACAAAATTGCCAAGCTCAGAGAAATGATATGCTTTGAACTGGATATTAACCAATGCACATGGGTTCTTTGTGTTGGCAACAAACCTACTATTTTGTTTTAATTAACCTAGTGACCTTGTCTAACATATTTTTCATAGGAACCATAGAAGTACTTACCACTATAGGTCATAACTACTATCTATCATCCTTATTTGTCTTTTGGAACTTCCGAATTATTGGTTGAATTTGTTCCGCCATAATGCAATTTATTGCGCCTAAAATCCTTAGATTGTTTGTGCGTTGCTTTGTATTTGCTTCCACAAATCTGTGCACGTAAAAATATATTGTTTACACGGGCCAGTGCAGCCTAATATTCAGTTCGTGTTACTTTTTCTGACAGGCAGGCTTTTCATAATGATGATTTTGTTAATCACCAATAATCCGATAAATGGTTTCCTTAAGAATATTTCTTACAAATAAACTATATATTTCTTTACGTGATCTGTACATGATTTCGCTAGTCCTAATTGCGTACATAATAAACTAATTACAACCACCAACCTTAGATACTGTGAAATGTATGACGGCTCTTGTAGTTGTTAACAGCTAATAATAGCTTACTCTCTACATTTCTCATTACTATTACTTTTTAGTTTAAGCACACTTGCTTATTTTCTACCTTCGAGTTTTATTCTTTTTTATTTATACTTCACGTGACTGCCGCTTCAGGGACAACTAGGGCAGAAAAAGGAGGCATTAACTGGTTGGTCCGGGTGCGGAACGGGTTCTCCGATTTATATCACTCAAGAACTCTGACCAGTTCTTCAATTCTTAGCTAAAATATCCACTCAAGATGGAGCACACACAGGCTTCTTTTATATTTCTAGTCCTACCCGAACTTAAACTTGAACTGAGTAAAATTCGTGTTATCACAACTTGTTTTTCCACTAAACACACAATGGTCGTTATAGGCTACCTAGATATGTAAGTTTTGGGTATACTACCAAATTTTGAAAATCTTATAGACATATCTGCACTAAAGGAAATTTAGCCATGCACGAATAATTGACAAGTATATTTTATTGTGTATAGCAGAGATGCGGCCGTTTATGATTTGAGAGACGGATGGATCTGGCTGATTGCCTAGCACGGATGAAGCTCTCACCTGTAACCTCTACGGATAATATCTAATAATAATTTTGAATAATGACGTGCGTATACGGTGCATCAACTTCAACATGGCGTAATTGCTAGATGTCATATTTGATGAGTGGTCAACCCACACTCGACGCAATGAAGGTGGCATAATTGTGGTATTTTATCGATATTCATAAAGCACAACCCAGAAATCAAGGCTAAAACACATTTCCACATGCTTTCCTCTCGTCATGCTTTGCATATCGGATCGAAAAACAGAAACGGTACACGTTGAGCCGTATGCCATCACTGCACGTAGGATTGTTTGTTTGAACGACGGCTATTGTTTGGTGTTTGCCGTCTCATTGTATCAGATAATTTTTTAAGCTGTAGTTGTTTAATAGGACCAGATATTTAGTGCCCATTTCAGAGGATGAACCGACAAAATCTTGTTGTCATGTATACGTTTGCCGGATCAATTATTGTCAGTTAGCGAAATTAAGTAGCTCATACCAAAACTGTTATTAAAACGGTTGCATATATTTGATAGCAAAATCTGAACGAGTACAATTAGCATGTTAACTGGAAATTGGCCCTATTCACTAGGCTTTTATTTAACTACATGTACGACGTGCGTTGGTCATTAGTTTTTATCTTCGAAGGTCAATCCTTGCATTAGCTCACTACGGAGATGGGATGCCAGATTCACAAATGTCAGGAAAGGGTTCGTTATTTGGCATGAAGGAATCAAGACCCATTTCAGCTATGGTAGGTAACATAAGCGCTTACACTTTCAGTATTTTTATTTAAGTTTGCAACATCCCTGTCTTAAAATATGTCGAATGTTGCTTACCTTCAATCTCCAACCCGCGCAAAGTTGAGATTCCTTTCGATGTTTCGGATAATACTTAAGACATTTGCTTGCACTCATTAATGGCAGAACCATCTCCTGAAGTTCAACTGGCGCCGACTTATTGAATTTACACGAAAGCCGGTTATCTGCGTCTGTGTCATCTGAGTTGAACGGACCGTGGGAGATGTCAAATGAGTTGATTTCCGTATTACTTTCAATGCAGCTTGGAATCTGACCCCAACCAACTGCGTAGCAGTGGGTGCCGTGTTCAAATTCAATAGGTTGTGTTGCTATGCAAGCGTAGTTAATCTCCTTATCTGCAACGTAGATAGGTAAGAGTGTAGTTACGTTACACAACATGGTCCTTGATAAACCAGGCTTAATCGAGTTATTCAGCAACATATCAGGATTGTTAGGCGAAGGTATCTAGATTACAATATTAATTGGTCAATACAAATAACATGTTTGCAACAACCTAAGTATCAGTGACTGCCTTACGCGCAGTCTTCTGTGTTTGCGTTAAGATTTTTGGAGCCATTTTAAAGAAATTTTGTGAAAATTGGAACCCCACCAAGTATAGTACGTAGGTGCTCGGCAATCCTAATTGACTGACTACTCTTATTTCGGCTTACCTATTGTGACCGCCAACGTTCTCAAGCTGCCGGCAAGCTCAATTGCCCAGCATGTACTATACTGCACATTTGCTTACATAAGGTGACTGCTAATGCAGGGACCGTTTGGGCAGGCAACGTGTGTAGTAATTGATGGGCGAGCGCGCGATGCGGGTATGTTAGATTATTCAAGAACTCAACACATTTATTTAACTATTGGATCAAAGATCTAGTTAAGATGGAACTGTCACAGAACTATTTTCCCGTTCTATCCCACCTGAACGTGAACTTGAGAATATCCAAACTATTTGCATTAAGAGTGTCCCATAGAAGTGTTGTTGCTTCTGGACATGTTAGTATTTGACAGTAAAACCTCTTGCATGGAATAAATAATTTCCCGGCATAAGGGTTTTCTGTCAGATTGAATTGATAAAAGAAGCTGCTGTGCGCATATGGGTCGCTCTGTGCATGTACATCTGAAAGTAGGAGAATTATTTGCGCAGGAAATAGTGCTGATCACAAAGGGTGCCCACATAGGCTTCCGTGCCTGTTTTGACGAACAGTTTTCCTCACAAATGGCAGCGTGGGAATCGATTTCGTGACTACCTAAATTGTGCCACATTGATCGCTTAACGTGGCGGTACGGTTTTCCTGTGGTACATTGCAAGTGGTCTCAACATGCCAAAAAATTACTTTTTATTAGTTGCATTATCTGAAATTAGCATTGTATTACCTACTATATGATGAGTAGAATGTTTAGAAGACATCCAATGCGCATTGCGATTGAGAATACTGTATCCAAAGAAAACATTATTTAACTGCTCATATTTGCAGACCTTGTGCACCGTGATCATCAGAAAAGTAATATTCCCAGATTTGATAAACCGTACAGTAACAGGCTACCTTCAGTGAAGCTTCTAAATATATTCGCACCAAAACAGTCGCTATCATCCTTAAATTCACAAAGTAGAGAAGGCAGTCGAAGGAGAGAAGATGGCTAGTGTCCAACTGTTCGACATTTCGGCATTACTTTTGAGAGAAAAGTAATGTTTTACTTAATATTTTCATCTCCACTTACTGTTTAATAAATACTATCATCCTCATATATGATTAGGGTGAAAAATAGAGGTAGCAAAACAATAACCACTGAGAATCAGCTGTCCTAAATTTAAACTCACTCAAATCTGCAGGTTTTGCTAATTGCAGTAAAGCCATGTCATGTCCTTTAGATACTTGAAACTCATCATAGTAGTAATTAACGAACACCACTTCAATCAGGTATTTCTCAGCAGTTCCATGATCTGCGCTGCTGCGGTGATTGCCCAAATAAGCAAAAAGGGTTCTGTTCTTGGATAGCACTGCAGGCATTGGCTGTCCTGTATTAACAACCAAGCCGTTATCTATAAAACAGTGAGCCGCGATGACGATCAATTTTTTGGAAATCAGCGTTCCACTGCAAAAGTAGTCTTCCTTTCCTTCAGGATCGCTTGTGATCACCCGAACCTGAGATTGTTTACAATAATTATGAACGGGTAATAAAGCGCACATGGTTTAAGGATCTCGTAGCTACAGCCGTGTTTATGTATGCACAATAATTCAACTCTTCATCTGCATCTATTCATAGCATTTTATGGTTATCCTCAATTAGTTTACATAAAATAGTGCAAAACGGTTTCCGGAAGAATTATACTACAAAAACGTATGCTTAATAAATATGTCTAAGCTGTTTGAAGACCTTATATACTGTGAAAAATATAGTGTTAAAGAGGGTTTTTAAGGTAGGATATTCCGTTCCTAGGTGAATAAACTTGTATTTGCCTTAGAGGAAAAATATATAAAAGACCGCTAAAACATTACTTTTAGTAAAAATTTCATCCATGTTTATTAATTATCAATCCGCTTATTAGCCCCGTAAACAGAAATACCACAATTTGGAACTTTTATAATTCTTCTATATGATTTATGCCGTATAAGTAAGCTCTCAAACGTGATCATAACACATATGTCTGCAGGTAAGAAACGAATACCTATTATCATAGCATTTCCAGATAAATAAATATCTACTAAAAGACAAGAACATAAACATTCCACTTAAGGAATGGGAAGATATTTGCTGTAAAACTATCACATGAAAGCGAGGAAAATTTTCAACGATCATTGATGAAAAAACGCAACAGTTTGCAGTTTGAACGGGTAGCCGCAGACCGTCACAGAACACGTCAGAAGTGTAACTAGTGTACTAACTCTTACGTTCCCTTATATATTTGGAAGGTATTGATGAACTAAAGCAAACCCAAGTTTCTCTTCTGTAAGTAAACCAAAGAACAAAAGCTGCCCAGCTACTTGGACGAGTTTTAAGATAAATAACATTCGGATCGATGGCGTGATCCGTGTGCCCATAACCCGCTTGGACGCGGCTGTCCGAAATTCCAGTAGCTTCACTCCTCTCCAGTATAAACGCTATTTCTTCAAAACATTTTCAAACAGTTTATAAAATATGCTCCCAAACGGCAATAGTCTGTATCCCAATTTAACGCAGGGCCTCCGGACTGGTTCCACGGCCGCATGATAAAAGAAAACAAACAAAAGCCAACTACCGTGTCTAATTACCCAAATATTTATATCTGCCTTTCCAAGAAGATTCTGTAGCAAAGCAACTCGGGCGGCTGGTAGCCACAGTAATTCGACGGAGATTTCGTGCTGCTATATTGGTCCCCGTTTGGATAAGCAGAGACTTACAAACGTCTTCGGCTAAGCTTACCTTACCTATTATCGGTACGACACATTGTATTTGCCACTTTGGCTATCGTTGTTAAAATGCTTACATCCGGAGTACTGATCGGTGTCTTCATACGCGAGTCGGTGAGTACATTAAAAAGTGTGTTGATGACGTTATGTGAGGTCGAACACGAGGAGATGTGTTGAGCTTCAAAATGATTACCGCGTATGATAACGCTCACTGCGCATAGATCATCACGTTAATTCGGTTGTGGCGTTTCCAATCATCTACTACAATATAAATGCGAAAACACAAACTCGCATAAGTCGTAGCGAATATTTGCAAACGCTCTAAGGTTTATGAGTAAAATGAGCCATCGCTCTCAAGTTTTTAGAGCAACTAACACTTGTCCCCATAATGTTGATTCTGATGTGGTCTGTGACATTATGTTTCTTCGCGTGCCAGTTTCCACTGCTGCTTCGTGGCACAAGGGAGCCTTTAACATGTTAAATTTTGGCATGTGTACAGAGGGCACAAAATAATATCTCCAGCAGCAGGTGTCTTCTTATTGCACTGTTTGTAAAATCGATTTGCTCAGGCACTCATTATTAGGCAATTGTCAGAACACCGGTTTTTTATATAAGGTTCAGTTTGTCCATGTTTACATTCATTTCATGAAATTTCAGCTTCAGCTTTCAGATATTAAATAGCTTAATTTGCACCAATCTCTCACATTGATTACGGACCTAGCTTTTCCTTTGATTCATCCAGCTTGCTGAAATATACTGGACTAAAACAAATGTTCTTTTATTTTTCTCTAGTGTAAGTTTAATCTGTTTTATTTGGTGGCTAAACACTTGCGCCCGTTCTTATGATTTCGTCAGGCACATAAAAAATTAAGCGTTAGAGATTAGTTGAGCTTTTCACATGCTATAGTCATTTAACCTAATTGTCATATTGTAACATATCTTTGAGTGAGAGCAGCGTACATATTTTACTAGGAATATTAAACTAAAATAAGTAGTGCTTTTTGTAAAGCGAATAACCGTTTTCAGAAGGCCTCCATTATCATTACATAATATATCCCTATATCAATAACGCTAGATATTATTCTTGCGGCAGATAATGTTTTGAAACATTTACGTGCAATTTTACCGCACGATCTCTGTTTTCGGTGCAAGCAATGCATCACATTAGATTTTTAAGCAGTAGATGATCGGTTGCAATTTTAAGACTTACAAATGTTCAACAGCATAAACTGCATTCATTGGACAAGAAGCGCGATTAGCTCACGTTTGTTGACATTTTCCTTAGAAATACTTGTACTCAATAAACACTTGTACTCAAAAAACTGATAACAATACCGCAGATTCCTCGTTCATGTAAGATGTTATACGCTCGATGTATAGCAGCTAACTTTTCCAATTAGATTTATGCTTAAAACTAATGAGTTTTTTACCTAATATTAACTTTTTTGAAATGCGGCATAATTGTAACTGTGTGGCTGGATTTTTCATATGCATTTGAGCCAGAGTTCTTTACAAGCATATAAAGAGGTCCAGACGGGGCATTATGAAATGAAGGAGGCTGTGATCCAAATCGTTATGTGCAGGTGTTTTCCGTCATTCTGTCAGGTGTCATCGATACATTCTTCAACCATTTGTACAGGGATTGTGATACCCCAAATATACTAACCGCGACTTTTAAATTTACATGCCAACTTAATCGGTAGTCCACACTTATGCAGTGTGCAGCATGTACTGACATCCCTTGTTACTTGGTACTAACTAGTGCACCAAAGCAGCACATTATAAGCTTTGTCCACTTTTTATAAATATTGATCTACTCGTGTGACGTCAAAAGCTACAAAAGCAAGATTTCCATAATTGGACTGTGTGAATTACAACCATTAAACTTGAGGTTACATTTGTCTAGCAATTTAGGGACACTTCCATGTGCAGCTGATAAGTCATACGAATGTCACTACCAAAGAAGCGTTGGAAAGCTACATTGTTGATTGTGAAAATCAGCTCAAACTCACCAGCCATGGCCACGAATTCGTTGTTGTTCTTTCGGCTCCAGTAGGGTTAGAGACAGTGTCTTCTTTGGTTGTTTGGACTCCACAGTTTTCAAGCATCCCTATATATAAGGTAGAGCAGTTCCACTTATTATCAATCGCTGGTTCATATGACTTTTTCTGTTCGTGTTATTTGCACGATAAATCATCGTAAATAAAAGAAATTGCTGCAAACGGAATATCTCCATTGAGGTCCATCTTAGCTTTCATAATGCTACCGCATTCTGATTGAGATTAACTGAAACGATATGGAACCTATGTTTGAGGTTATAACATGCAAAATATAAAATCCGGTTAGAAGCTGACAACACCAACCCCGGCAAAATCTATCATGCGCTTTTCCTCTCCTTCAACTTGCTGCTGAGATGTGAACATACTTGCTACGTTTACCACGGCTCAAAACAACCTGCACAAAAGACTTTGCTCTTGTGTTAACAAATATATATCCTTGCGATGTTATTTTAATAACCTAGACTTTGTTAAGCCCATGACTTGAGATTCAATACGCGTCATTATTTCGAAGCTGCAATCCAATCTAGGTTGGGGCATAACTATGTGGTATTACAGCAAACTACAATACGAACCAGTGGTTGCATCGCAAAAGTGGGTCACCGATTCGCTATGCTACAGTTTGGGGCGTGGATCTGATATTAACTAGCTCGTGACAATCGTAGTTTTCGTCATTTTCTAATCTACGTATAGATTTCTGTCTACTATCGGTTTTATCTTAGAGTTACCTTACCTTACCTTGGACTTACAAGAGTCTAAAACCAAGTTCATATTTATTATGATTGAATGGTAGGCAGTCTGTAAGACTGAAATTCCATTACCAAACATTCAGGGATATTTTGCAATAATTTATCATATGTAATCCAAAGATGTGTGTCATCATCTAACCTGCCAGGTGAATGGATGGCAACCAACCATTCATACCAGAACTAGTACCTGCAAATGAAGAGATGCTTATCCAAAATTCTACGTATAGATTTCTGTCTACTGTCGGTTTTAGCTTAAGCTTACTAAAAAGCTAAAAGTAACTTCATATTTATCTTGCATAAAAAACCGAAGCATTATGTAAGGCTGAGATTCCATCAAAAAACCTTCAAGTATATTTTGCAATAATTCATAGTAAGTAACCCAAATATGTGTGCCATCATCTCTCCTACTGAGTAAAGCGATGACAAACAACCATTTCCACCAGAACTTGTAAATGCAAACGAAGATATCCTTAATAAAAGTCACCGGTTTACACATATGTTGGAATAAGCCATCTGTTCACTTTAATTTAAAACTATTTGTGTTCCACCTAATTTTTTAAAAAGATACGAAGCCGATGGGTATCAAAGCACGCCAAAACATTCGGACTGATCTAGTTACGCTGCAACTTAAAAAAACCATTCTAAAACACTAAATCAGGTCTTCTGGCTATTTCAACAAATGGGCAAAGCCGATTTAGCGATTATGCCTGTTTGTTCCACCGTGCCATCATCGTACTAAATAGACAGAACACAAAAGCTAATTTCAGTGAGGAATGCAATCTGAGTCAGTTTCGAAAGTTGGAGCCAGCAGGTATATAAGGGGTATGAATGTAATGCTCTTGTCTGTGATTAAAAGATTACTAGAAAATGACACCCAATCTGTAAATGCTCCAATAATATTTAACAATAGCGTTACTGGATTTTGCGAAGTAAAACACTATTCTCGTCGACACAAGAGTCAATATGGCCAGATGCCTTGTAAAAGGATATTCAATGCATGATTTTCCGAGGAGACAACGTGTCATATGCCATTGATAAATGTTTCAACCATTCACCTAAACACTAGATTTTGCTAATTAAATAAACACCAACGAATAGAAAAAAATACTGGCTACGTTGTGTGTACAAAGTTGAAAATATCGCTTGCAACTCCGTCTAATACCTGAGCGAACGGTTTTGCAACTTGCTCAGCAGAGTACATTGTCTCTCGCAGGCTAATTTCCAAAAGGAGCAGTTAATTTGATCCCGCGAACTCCATCTTAACTTTGTTGGGTGCAGGTTGCGCTGATGTTTTACATGATGGAATGGAACCCTGTGTCATTACTGGAACGGAACATCATACTTTCCCTCATAAATCCTATACAAAACTCCTGCACTTTACACACGGTATTTCAAAGATAACATGCGTAAAATCAAGGGGAACTGTTATTGTGTAATCAGATTTTCTAAATAATTTGATTGCCGGAAGCACTGCATTCTAGTTTATGGACTAAGAACTTTTAATGTCGGAAATCTACATTAAGGTTTATTTGTAATACACACAGCTGCGAACAAATTTGTGAAGGGGTATCCAAAATGCATGGGCATCGTTTTTCCACTAGACACATAAGCATGAACATTAAATTTTGTGGGTTTTCTTTACTAAATAACTCCAATTTGATCGCGTTTCGTTTGCAAATGCACTTATTTAAGAAAAAGACGTCTCCCTGCCAACACTTGTCACAATTTCGATTTGCCCTATCGTACATGTCATCTATGCCGTCAATACAAATTATATCTGCGTTAGCCACTACGTCTCAAGCTAATATTTCTTCATCCTTTATTACAACTAGTAGCAATACGGTGACTACGTCATCCATACCATCATACTCTTAGATAAACATTTCACATAAACATTCTTCCAGAAAATTTGATTAACATGCTTGAAAAATATTTTTGTATATATTCAGCTAATTATCAAAAGCATTTTGCATGTATAAGCGCCCAAGTAACTAGCATTATCATGATAAAACTCCTCATGCTCATTACTAGACATTATAGAATAATTAGAAGCATTACGATAACATGGTACATTAGTACCTGCCTTCTGACATTACGAATGCAGTAATGTTATAAAGAAAATTATTTTATTTGTCATGTCTCAAACTAGTGAAATCAAGTTTGATATTTCGGCTTCGCGATTGGACCCTAGAGAGTATTAGTGCTGTCATACTGCACATATTCATCAGTGAAAACATATACTCCCTTATTCATTTGGTGTAAACACACGAGTCACGTCAACGGTTTCTTATAAACCCAGATCGTTTTAGGTACATAACGCTAGCAACCTAAAAATTTCTGGTGTTGATCAGATTGGCTCAGTAAGTACAAATTTTCGCCATACATTGTGAAACATTAAGTAAACGACTAGGACGACACTATTTACTCTATTTATGCGCTGGACCTAGAAAGCATGAAATATTTAGCATTAATTTCATATAAATTATCCAACGCTAAGCAGTTCTCTGATTGCAAATGTGCTTTCATATATCATCGTTAATTATACCAATATTCATCCAACTAGAGCATCAGCTGGTTCCAAGAAAACTGTACTTAAGGACTAGCTAAGGATAATGCTACAAAAAGAAGCACTTGATTATGATATTAGGAAAATAAGTTGGGGAATTTGTTAGAAAAACTGGGGATACCAAACCGTTATATCAGAAGAAAGCTGCTGTCAACCGAAGTGCCTAACTTATGCAGCAATTACGGCATACCATTATAATCCCATTAAATACCAGAAAGATTCATAAGGACGAGTCATGTTATACACATGATTGCATAATTCTGTTTCGTGAAAGATTGCAAAAAATAAAATAATATCACTGGTAAATATATATTGTAATCTTTTGGTACAATGTCTTTTGACGACAAACAATGTGGTTTCGTAGAACATTAACCGTTCCTTTTTCCAAATACGTAACCTATGCAACTCATGCTTATTGAAACCATTGCTTATGCATAAACCGTGCAGAAATTGAACGGAAGTGGTTCAGTAGTCGATGCGTTATTTACCCGAGAGTTATATTGTTCCTTCAGACAAAGAGGTTTTTAAAAGCACTACAGTCAGGGATACCGTAGCGGAGCCATCAACCTGCAAATGCACTGCCCCAGAATTGTGACACCATTATTTGATATAACATGCGCATTTCTTTCTGTTTGTCTCAAGACATCAAAAAAGAAGACGGTCTGTATGTTGACTCTATAAAAGTGTAGCAGTTTATTCATCAACTACATCATACGCGTTAGCTTGCGATGGGGAATACCTCAGCTAATCTGCCACAATACACAGAAAAAAGGAGAAATACAGAATGCAACTGGTGCAAGCCGGCTGAGCTACCAGGTAACGGATGGGCATCATTTCGGTTAGCTACCAGCCGACTACTGCGCATCGAAAAAAATCCTATGCGAACTTATATAAAGCTAACTAATGATATCTTGGTTGGAGGGGAGGCTAAAAGGGATGGGGAGGGACAAAGTAGCTCACAGCACGAACGTCACTGAGATGGGCTCCTAGCCTTATTAGCTAGTGTGCCCAACCAAACGTGTTCATCGTATTTCGGACCCCAACCAGGGAGCCAAAAAGCTCCAACCGAGGCCAGCTCAGAATTGAGGGCATCCATTCCTCTCGACCAATTCATCGCTTGTTTACCCCTCCACTTCTTCCATGCACACCCCCGGCGCGCAAACAACGCACGTCGCGGAAGTCGGTGGGCTGGCATGCGTAACGCGTGGCCTAGCTATCGGAGTCCGGTGCGTGAAATGACGGTGCTGAGCGGTTTATGTCCTTTTCCTGTGCCGAAAACGATGCGTCGAACTCGCTCGTTGCTCACGCGGTGATCCCACAAGATTTGAGCAAACTTACAAAGGCACCGGTGGTCTAAGGTAACTAGCCTCTTCAGGTCCGCTGCTTTAAGCGGCCAGGATTCACAACCGTACAGTAGGGTCGAAAGCACCGATGCATTGTACACTCTACCTTTCAGGGCCAGAGTGATGTCGCGCCGACGCCATAAGTGTCAAAGGTTGGCAAAAGCGCCCCGAGCTTTTGCTATACGGTTCGTGATCCTATCCTCAATCCCACAGGCCCTGATACAATTTCAGTTGATTAATGTCTCCTAAACACCATAAGTGAGGAAATGAACTTAGGACAAAAAACCATGTTGGTTGCACAGCAGTCAATTTAGTCGCCGTATGATGATAGGTTCATAAGCCCCAAAAATTTTCACTCGGTGATAATAATTCATAGGACGTCTTCGCAAAAGCATTTATTCATAGTACCAACTTATTATATATACAGTATATGATTTTCGGCTACAATGCATTTGGCAGCCATGTTTGTCCACATCATAGCGCTAGTTTGTGATGTTTGTGATGTTTGTGATGACAATGTCATCTAGTCCACCGGCTTTCAGAATCCCAAAGCAGTTTGTTTATACAGTGTTCTCAGAGAGGTTAGACATAGTATTTTAATCCGAAGAAAATCTAATCTTACATAGTTATGCTCGCAAGTTTATCTTACAAGCAGATATAACCTAAAAGTATTATTTTTCATTTGTCCATTACCAGTAAATACAGCTTATTGAAATAGCAAACGAGAATTGTCTGCCAAAAGCAGCAGGCGTTTAAATACTGCAATATGGCGGATCTGATAATGAACAATTTAGTGATAAGAATTTTGCTCAACTAGGATTTATTAGGTGCAGTAGAATAAATCCGCTTAATTTTGAAACCTTTGGTTACTATTGGATGCATTTAGATTAACTTTAACTCAGTCGCAGTCGCTAACAGCCACCACCTATTCTACGATGTACTTGCATGCAACGCACTCGTTACAACTATTTCCTCCATTAACTTATTTGTTGGCGCATTATACATAACAATACACTAATTTGACTTAGACTACAGGCCGCAAGCTGAATGTGCAGGCGTTCCGAAAATAAATTTTTATCTCGTCACCGCATCCGTGTGTCTATCAAAGAAGGCACAATTTCAAGGCATTGCATGGATAAAATCATGTGTCAGTATTTGGGATGCCAACCACTAAAAACAGAGCTGAGTGGTTTACAAATATCTTTTAATTCCTTCCGAAATCGCCACACCTGGACTTCAGGTAACCGCGGCCATGTAAAACTATTCTGGTTTGCCTAAACGATTGCTCACATATTTACTATATATTAGCAAGTATGCAATCCCATTTACGGGCCTAGTAACACGACTGTTGATATACAGTGTTTCCACACAACCATTTATGATCGACCTTAGGTAGACAAAAGGAAGTAAATTTTTCAGAGCATTGCGTTGGCTCAGAAAATGTTGGGGCATCAGACATGTAACTTATGTACTTGTTTCGTTTTTGATAAACGCAAACCGATAATAACTAACTTACTCCTACACTGGATAGCACGTGCGCTCTCTCCAATCGTTAACTCAGTAACAGAATGTTAAGCAATAAAGCAATCGTCTATTCTGCGTCTGTTTATGAAAACCGATGTCCAATACAAACTAATTCCAAAGCTTTTGCTATTAATGCAATGAAATTCTTTTCGGAAAGCTTATAAAATATAACGGTAGCATTTTTGAATGAAACAACATCACATATCATGGTACTGAAATATACGGACCATATATTAGGATAATTACCAACGTGGAGAAAAGGTAATGTATATAAAATATTTATATGTCGTCTTTTACAGAGCGAATTGAAGGATCATGTAAAATAATCTAAAGTAATGCAGCAGAAAACAAGCAGAAAGTAGAAGCATTATATCTCGAACATCTGCACATGTTTAAACTGCTGTATCCATCCGAATTATACAAATAATATGTAGTCTACCCACTGGGTTAAATCAAATTGGCCAAAGCTTGTTTTATGCTTAAAAAGTTGGATGCTCACCATTGGTTACACAGTTTGTCTTGTTTTTACAGTCCCGCGTCTCCTCGTAATACTTGCTGAGGCAGCGTCTTGCACCTGATTTATTGACATCAGACTGCATCCAAGATTCGTCCACACATTCACGGCGTCGACTCTCAACACATTCAATGGGATCACATTTGGACCATTTAGACCAATTTTGGTAGCGCTCAGTGGGAATGGTTAGCCTGTACCCGGATTCTTGCTTAGGAAAGCCAGATTTTATGGATGATTCTTTCAGCTAACGAAGAAAAAGAGAATTCAAATGCAAAAATATCTTGAATTCTTGCTTAATTTAACACAAGTTGATAGGTGTCGGGGTCAAGCTGTGCTATACGCTGCGCAATTATCACGGTCAGCGGAATTAACATGGCAAACACTGTGAAGATGGAAGTTGTTTCATATTAGCTAGATGTCTTGCAGTTATTTTTCTAACTAAAGCTATAAATGTACTTGCTGGCTTTAATTATATATTTTACCAAAATTACATTCCTCAAACCGAAGTTGTCTAAGAGTGCTTCTGTTGTTAAATGTTTAGCTTATTAAACATATGAGAGTGTAAATCGCTTAGGGGTACGCAGTGATCAGTGGACAGTTTTCGGCCGACCACGGGCCTAAATTGCTAAAAGTCCTACCTGGTCCAATGTTAAGTAGGTATATAAACTGTAGATAAGTGAAAAAGTCAGAATCTTTCCGACTAATTTCCTCACGCTCTCTAATGTTTACAGCTTTTAATAAACTACGACTGTTCATATATACGTTTATTTGAATGTTCGTGAATAGTGTGCAGAGCAATTCTGCAGTTGCACACTTATGTTTGCTAACACAAGTAGACTAAAGTTTACGTCGTGCATTCATACAATTTGCGCTAAATGGTGATATATGAAAAGCCTTAGATGCACCCACAACTCTATGGAATCTATCTCACAGGTTACGACCTTTTGACAAGAATAGCCATTACGCTCTTAGAGCTTGTGTACTCACCTGTTCGGTTACACGCTCAATAACCTCAATCTTTGGTCTTGTATTTTCAAACTGCACCGACGCCTCCAATTTACCCTGGGTCGATTCGGTTTCCCGGATGTCACCGGGTGCTTCGGTACCATTTTTATCGTCACTGAGGCTGTCACTGCTCCTTACCTGTGTTGAGTATGCACAGAGCAATGCAACTGTTACCACCGTAATTGACAGTACGGTGTTCATCGAAAGAGGGCAAGTGCTTATGGAGTAGCAGTAGTTTATCTAACAGGTATTTATATATCACAGTTTTATACCATTGCTCAATATTAGGCGGTTGTTGACCAATGCACAACAGAGCGTGGGCTCATAAAAACACGAATGCAAAATTGCGCAAAAGTAGCCGCACATCGCTGAAAGTCCGCATATTTCCTTAGATCAATCGTTAAGATTTGTTTGACACAAATTGACAGTCTGGTTTTGGCAGGCACACCATAGAAGTAGGTCACAGAATTCCTTAGTTTATTCTGATCAAAGCATTCATTCAGCGAGCAAACACTTGTTATTTTCAGTTTAGGTCAAATGAAGTGAGGTATTTCAGATCAAAAAGCAAGAGGAATATCGTTGCTAAATTACAACGGAAGGTTACCTAGGTTTGTCCGACGCCAAATATAATTTGCTTGGGAGCCCTGATCATTCATCTGTCTTGTCATTTTTATCCAATTTGTAGGAAATTCGATTCGGGCGTTTTTGTCAGAATGAGGTAGGTTCAATTATTTTCTTAAATTTTGGTGACCCCATTGTTAGGCGCAGCGTTACAATACTTGCTGACGGTTCCGAATACGCCAATTCAATTGTTAAACTGAACGGCCGTACCACAAATGTAAAGACGTTAAGACTTGACAAGTCCTTTGTAATTATCCATAGCATATTGATATGATTTCAAATGTGACGGCAAGGTGATACGACTTTGTTAGCTTCACAATTTACCCACGTCAACACAGAGTTATACCGTCTACACACATTTCATATATCATAGTAAGCGCAATCTTGTAAGCACTTGATAGTCGAAGTAAGTACCTCGTTATGCATACGATGTAATATGTCGTCAAGTAAATTTTAACAGTGCGTGTCATGGGAGCAAAGAAGACAAAGAAAATAGGTGTTCCGCAGCTGACATATTCTGGGAAAATGAAATTCCCGGTGACAAACATCCGATTGCTTTAGGTGGAATGTTTCACCTAACCGTTTCTCAGATTCGTGTTGTGCATTAATCGCTTTGTTAAACAGCGTATTTTCAGTCTGGCGAAACGTACAACATCATAAGCTCAAATGACGGTAGTGAAACTTAGCAGACTCCATTGTATGCAAATGACCTCTGTACAAGTGCAGCAAAGTTAGGTTTCGACGAACGCAGCAACGTATGGCATTTCTGCCCCCCTACTATTTCGATTCACTTTATAAATAACTGACAAAACCCAAGCAGTCGAGTAAGGCACCCTTAAAATATACCGCGGAGGCACTATTTCTGCTTTCAAATACTGTTGAATATAAGCCGAAATAGATTCGCTAATTGTAATTACGTAATCCCATAACCGATAAACCAAAGCATTAATATGACTGAGTGGTCAATAGTTGCCTAATCGTTGTTCAATTGGGGCGGCTATGTGCAAAAGACTGGTCACCCATGTCACTAAATAGCCAAACGCGTACACCAAAACTGTGACTTAAGAAAAAAAGTAATACTATTTAGGCAATAATGGACGTGCCTTAGATGTTCAATCTTACCTTACAGCATAAATATATATATTCCAATTTTCATTGTCACCCTAAGTTTTGCCTCTGCGTGTAACCGAAAACACACCAATATAGGACTGCCTGCCTTTCATCTGTGCGGACAGGGCCCATATCAATACAGTGCCTAAGGTTAGACGTTAAACAATTTACTCTAAGTCATTCATAGTACCAAAGTGATAACCGGCCCTTGATTAGTCACACTGACCTCAAAGATTGCAAGCTTACATGGAAGTCAATGACTGAAGGTAAACTGGGTCATCGAGTTCACGCCATGCACCCCGGTAATATCCTGTCGGCAACCGGCCATAATTATCCCATTCCCTTTGTATCCGCATAGAGCACTATTGAAAACGTTAACAGGGTAATATTCCTTTTCTACCCGACGACTGTATCATTGTTCCTTTCCAAATAATCTACTATAAACAGTCGTGGCTCTCGGTCACTGTCGCAGATACACAAAGGCGCAAGAGAAAACCAGTACACATAGATGTATTATATACTTACTTCTGTGCACCCTTAAACCAATGTTAGATTACCAACCCCGTTACGGTCTCCGTACTATTGGCCGTACTATTGGCGCCCTGAACCGCCCTAAATAATACCCATCTAGATAATGATAGGATTAGCTTAAAAGCACTTCTCATGTAGGTATGCTCACTTAGTACATGCTGCTGAGAATGTCAATATAAAATTCACCATTTTCCCCACAACACCTTTTATTTACTAAAACTGATATTATCATGGAAGCCTTCGTGCACACAAATCGTTTGCTCATTTTACTGTTTTATTTCTACAACATGTCCCTTCTCCCGAAAATCTTTTAAATACTGAAGAGGAATGTTCCGTTAAGCAGGCTGCTAGGCGTCTTGCTTCCCATACAAACAGGGCTGGTGCATCGGACCATCTACATAATAAATAAAAAAGCACAATATCTTTAACCAGTATTTAGTACAGTGAATCCGACGACGTTTAGTTGCTTCACACTCCGCTAAAATAACAGACTTACACCGCAACCGAGTATTTGTCAGCATATTACTAACAATACTACTACCCAGAAATAGCTTTGCAAATTGCCATCCAACATGTGTTTGCTACTATGGTGTTTGAGAATCTGACTGACCATGTGGAATGCCGCGTGCTCCAACAAACTAAGAGCGGGCGTACTTTTTCCATTGAACTGTACAATCAACAAATTGGTAGCCTCGTTGTACGATTTGATACGACCAACGAAAAAGACCGTGTCTCCCATTGTCAAGCAACAACAACACATGTATTTAATAAGTTAATGCCATGAAAAAGGTTTTTTAAGTAGGTGGCTGAAACCACTTCTTTTCGACTCAGTGCAAACAGCAAAGCGACTAGGAAAATGAATTTGTATTCTTCCAATAATATATCATCGACTTTCCTCAGTCGAACCAGATAAACATGTAGACACTGTAGTCGGAACGCTGGGAGCATAACTCAAAAACTGTGGGTACTTTTTGCCCCCAACTTACTGTTAATATCAATAATCTTTATGTTATTTGCCTAGGATATTTACCCCCTAGAATTCCTATATCCTCTTATTCTTTAAAATATCATAATAGGTGTCACAACAGCGCGTTAAGTACTGTTCCTTGCTGCCCGTATTAACGCCTCTCTGGGCATCTTACTTTTCGCTAATATCTTTATTGAAAGTGATATATCATAGCGCTCACGTTAAGCGGTGTGTTTCCTCTTTGTCTTTCTACCGCATTTGCAACATTTCAATCATCAACCTGTTGAACCCAACTTACGTCTGTAGCAACCACAGGATTGAATCCTTTTATAGTCAATCACCATCAACAATTATGACGGCATTTAGAAGTATGCTTCCTACTTAACAGCTCTTCTTTGTTTACTGGTCAACAACACTTAAGTCGTTGAAGTCAGCTGTGCGCACAGGTTCTAGTGCTTGATCACATAACGTCACTGTTTGTGCCAAGCTTCGTGGGTGGAACGTAAGTAATGATAGGGACCAGAACCATTAAGAACAAATACGGACTACAATAATTAGAAGTACGTAGGTGGGACCAATGTATACTGTAAAGAGCAGCAATGCACTAGAAGCAATTTAGCAACCGCACAGAGCAAGGAAGCTTGCAAATCACAGCGAAGTCAAAAGTGTAGAAGACGTGTCGGTAGCAAACAAATGGACGATCGGAATACCAATAAAAGACTAAATTTCCGAAAAGTTGTTAGCGAAAAAGCTCTTTTTCAGTGGTACCTCGTCAGGCTAATACACCACAAATGAAGGACATGAACGAAAACATCACATAAGAGTACAGGTTAAAAACCCAGATGATCTGAGTGACCAAGCTAGGCGATTTGCCACACGGCAATCAACAGTTTGTTTGTGTGTGTGTGTGGCGTTGTCCAAAATATGTATCCGTGTTACAGCGGACCATTGTAGAGTTAGTGCCTGGACAAATTTCTTGTGTGCACATAGGTCAGGGTCATGAAGTATGATGGCTATCGCCTCGGCCGCTGCCAATAAACGACATCTAACTGCCCTTGTACGACATCCGGTACGCGATAGATGGGCTGGAACGCCCCATGCGCTCTGACTTGATGGCTCGAGTTGATCAAGTGTGTAGACACTGCGATTGCCACTGATCTAGTCACGCCGCTATGCAGCCAAGCTTGACAGGGTTCCCTGGCTCTCTCGGACAGTCTCCTGGTAGTACTTCCGATATATCTTGCTCGACACGAGCAAGAGAAAGATTATACACAGAATAAAATACTAGACCTTGGAATGTGCACTACTGTGGTCTCTTTTAGAAGGCTACATTAGCGAAGCCTTTGGTTGAGATTTCAGGTGGTTTAAAATTATAGGTGTATATGTTAAATACGGGTTGGATTAGACGCACACATACAGTGATAGCGCGCGTGGAGTTCTTTCTATCCTGCCTCTTTGTCATTAATTTATTATTTTGGTGTAGCCTAAAGTGCACCATGTGTTGCTTGCAGTGCGGGCTGGTAGAAATTCCAAAATCCAGGCCAGTACATGAAAATGCCGACAGTGCATATCCTCCGCTGTTCTTCCACGGCGCACTTAAACGGTGTTTCTCTACTAAGCGCAGCCAAAATGCACACCGTCAAGTTCCCCCCTCATGAAGATACCCAACAGTCGTCTTTGGATGCCAGACCAGCCGTTGTCGCACTGGTTCTGGAGAATCGCGGTCGCTTGAAGCCATGATTAAGAAGCCGGCGGTTAACGGCAGGTCGATCAGGTGATTTTAATGTTTCCCATGGTTCTTCTGTTCTAGAATGTAAAACACGGCATGTGTTTGGCATAGGCGGCTAGGCGGCGTGTTACCGTATATATAAGGAGGCAAGTGCATGAAACGTAGAAGTGCATAGCTTTTGTATGCTATTTTATAAGGGCATATTTTTGACTTTTCGGTGTTTTACAAAAGGTTTGTGAATGA